CGAAGGTAGCGGACATTACGCGTGTTTTAGATAGACTGGTAGATAGTGCTGGGGAGGAGCCAGTGGTCGTGGTGCATGTCAGCACCAACGATGTGGGGAAATGCAGTCGTTGGTCCTGGAGGAGAAATTTAGGCTGCTGGGCAGGAAACTTAGGTCCAGGGCCTCCAAGGTAGCTTTCTCAGAAGTACTACCTGTTCCACGCGCAGGGCTGGAGAGACAGGCACAGATCAGGAGTCTCAATGCGTGGATTAGACGATGGTGATGGGGGGAAGGTTTCAAGTTTGTTAGGCACTGGGATGCTTTTTGGAACAAGAGGGAGCTGTACAGGCAAGACGGTCTCCACTTGTCCCGAGAAGGAACCAGGCTGCTAACGCTTAAAATCAAAAAGGTGGCAGAGCAGTTTTTAAACTAAATATTGGGGGAAAGCCGACAGGAGATGAAAAGTCTCTGCTTCGGGTTGGCTCATCTCAGAGAGATGAGGGGGTAACTGTTGCTTTTCTACAGTATTGTGTAGTGGGTTGCCGCATGGATGGACGACAGACAACGACGTAGTGCATAGCACGCTTTATTAGGTACACAACTGAACAGGGAACAAACGGCCGACAGGCCAACTATATACACTACCAGGGGACCACCCCTGGGTCCCATTGGCGGGTTTGAATCTCCCGCCTCGGTCCCATTGGTTCCCCCAGTGGAGGGACTAGGATCCTAGTCCCCATTGTTGTCCTGGACTGAAGCTCAGGTATGTGCGCTGACCTCCGGTGGCGGTCAGTGGACACAACATACAGGGAGGTGGATTGAAATTGTCCACTGAGACCATGGCTAGTGACATGGACTGCCTGATAAGGTCTCGAGATAGCAAGAGGAAAGTTGCAGGCTTAACTTGTATGGGAAATTACAGCTGTTTCTATACAAATGCTAGAAGTGTCCGAGGTAAAATTGGGGAGTTAGAGTGCTTGGTGTTGGAGGGAAAAATAGACATTGTGGGTATTTCAGAAACTTGGTGGGATGAGGAAAATCAGTGGGATACAGTGTTTCCCAGTTATATATTATATCGTAAGGATGGGGGGAAGGATTGGAGGTGGGGTGGCTCTGTATGTCAGAGAGACTCCTAAGTAAGCTCAATAGTCATGGGATAAAAGGACAAGTCCTCTTGTGGATCAAAAACTGGCTAATTAATAGAAAACAGAGAGTGAGATTAAATGGGCAATTTTCTCAGTGGAGGGTGGTAAGCAGTGGGGTACCGCAGGGATCAGCAGCCAATGTCTTTACCGTTTTAGACTGCAAAGATGCGTTCTTTTGTGTTGCTCTGGCTCCAGTGTCCCAGGATATGTTTGCCTTTCAATGGGCCAATCCAGAAACTGGAACCCTGACCCAGTTTACCTGGACTAGGCTGCCACAAGGCTTCAAGAATTATCCAACGGTTTTCGGAAGAGTACTGGCTGATGATTTGGGCGACTTCGATGGGAGATCTCCGGAGGTGGCGCTCCTGCAGTATGTAGATGACCTCCTACTTTGTGCACCTGACCTTGTGTCTGCCATTGAGGAAACTCAGGCCCTCCTGGCCCTCCTCCAGGACCAAAGATATTGGGTGTCCAGGAAAAAGGCCCAAATCTGCCAACACTCGGTGCACTTCCTGGGCTTTGACATCACCCAAGGCCAGTGAGCATTGGGGCCCAAACGAAAGGAGGCAGTCTGCCACATCCCCAGACCAAAAACCCACTGGCAGGTCCAAGAGTTCCTTGGGGCTGCTGGGTTCTGCCGTCTATGGATCCCAGCCTTTGCAGAAACAGCCAGGCCTTTATATGAATCCACAAAAGGGGGGGGAAGGGACCCCTTCGTCTGGACCCAGGCTCAAGAAGACGCCTTCCTGGCACTAAAGACCCGACTAATGGAAGCCCTAGCCTCCCAGATCCGACTAAAGGTTTTTCTCTGTTCGTGGATGAAAAAGAGGGAGTGCCAAAAGGGGTCCTTACCCAGAAGTTGGGATCCTGGCAAAGACCGGTGGTCTATCTGTCAAAGCAATTGGAAGAGGTAGAGAAAGGTTTTCCTCCTTGTCTATGAGCAGTGGCGGTGGCAGCCAAACTCCTCCAAGAAGCCGAGAAATTCACGTTCAGGGGAACGGTCAAATTATGTGTCACTCATGTAGTTAAAACCGTTCTTGAGACTAGGGGACATCTTTGGCTCACCAACCCGCGACTCCTCCGATACCAGGTGCTTGTGTGCGAAAACCCTGCTGTCCTGCTGGAAATCCTGACAACCTTGAATCCTGCAACCCTTTTGCCTATCCCTGCTGAGGACCCTGGTGGTACTTGATGAGGTCTACTCTTCTCGACTAGACCTCTCTGACACTCCATTAACTGAAGGAGACCTGACCCTCTTCTGTGATGGAAGCAGCTTCTTGATGAGACCGGGACGTGCAGAGCTGGCTATGCTATTATTTCTGAGGGTCAGGTAGCTGAGGCTGAGCCCCTCCGCAGACAGACCTCAGCCCAACTGGCCGAACTTGTGGCCCTGACACGGGCACTGGAGTTGTCCGTAGGTCAACGGGTCACAATCTACACGGACTCCAGTTATGAATTCAAGACTATCCATGCCCATGGGGCCCTTTATAAACATTGCGGATTCATCAATGTGGCTGGAAAGGATATCAAACATGGCCCTGCAATCAGACGACTCCTGGAAGTAGTGCATCACCCTAGGGCGGTCAGGGTCGTTTACTGTTCAGGGCACCAGAAGGGAGACACCTCAGTTGCCCGAGACAATAATCAAGCCAACATGGCCATGAAGACTGCAGCCCGCCAGCCAACTCCAACTTCCAGTCCTGCTTTGGCCTGTGTCTTGTATTCCACTCCCCTGTTCCAGTGGACGCCCCAATACACAAAGGATGAGTCTACCTGGGCTGCAGAACAGGGTGCCCGCAAGAACCCTGGTGGCTGGTGGCTCCTTCCTGATAATCAACTGTACGTTCCTGCTGCTCTTGGGAGAGAAGTCGTTCAGAACTTGCATGATCAGACCCACTATGGAAAAACTGCTCTGGAATGGTCTGTTTCCCATTGGGCTTACCTGGATCGCCTGGCGGCACATGCAAAAATTACAGCCACCCGTTGCATCACCTGTGCTCAGAACAATCCATGAGAAGGACCATGCCAAGTCCCAGGAGTTCAGCCGGTTGGACCCACTCCATTCACCCAGCTGGTTGTTGATTTCACTTAAATGCCCCAAGCAGGTGGGAGAAAATACCTTCTGGTTCTAGTTTGTACCGTGTCTGGCTGGATCGAGGCATACCCCACGGCAACTGAAAAGGTGATAGAGGTGGCTCGATGCCTCATGAAGGACATCGTACCCAGATTTGGTCTGGGTTATACTGGGTCTGCGGATCGGTGGGATTCAGATATATGCCTGTTCCCTGGTTCAGTCTGTGTACATTCAGCCAATTAGCCCTCAAAGGCCAGATCCAAACCAAGCCCTCTCCTCTACATGAGATCCTAAATCTTAGTAGTTTCCACAGACAGAAAAAGGCACCCTTGAATGAAAAGCCCAACGGATTCATTGATTTACTGCATGGGGTATAACTGATCTGTTAATCTACACTCGTAATATCTCTAAGGTGCTCCAGTGAAGTATAGAAGAAACTGCAGGGGCCCTGCAGAAATTAGATAGAGAGATTCAGTCATTATCTCGAGTGGTGCTTCAAAACCGAAGGGCCCTGTACATTATGACTCAGCAACAGGGTGGCACATGTGCCTTGATCCATGTTGTTTTTATGTGAATGAGACTGGACAAATCGAGCAGCATGTAGGTAAACTGAAAGAAATACTGAGGCAGGTACAAGAGAATGATGTGAGTTTTAATGCAGGGGGAAACCCCTTGTCCTGGCTATATGATTGGATGCCTAACCTGGGAGGATGGCTCCATACTGTTGTGCAAATAGGTTTACTCCTGGTGGTTGTGTTTTTTGTTGTGTTTTGTAGAATGTAGTGTCTGCCCATCTGTACTCGTTATTGTAAAACTTTGATTCATTCTCAACCACAAGAGGACACTGATGGTATGTTGTTATTGCACCGAAGGAACAGGTATATGAAGCCAAATCAGTCTGATGCGCAGGCTCCAAGAGATGCGTGAGACTGAAAGGGGGGACTGAAGCAGAGAGAAGGGGGGGGGGAGAGACGCTCTCCCTGATTCTCTGTGCCTCTCCGATTAAAGAGTATTCCCCTTCCCCCAGAAACCGGGGGGGGGGGGGGGAACAAGAGCAGTTAGAGACAAGGTGGAAAATCCCACTGTGTGCGCAGCTCAGCAAAGTAGCAAAACACCCTGGGCTGATGTCGGGGTGGAGACAAGATAAGAAAGTGTGTATGTAACTGAACTGTATAAAACTTTTGTTCTTCCAGTGTCCGGGGCCCAGCCCTTTTTGAGCGCCCCCGCAGCTGGGTCTGACGTCAATAAAGCAGTTTTCCTTTCTCACCCGTTGTCTGGACGTTCTCTGCGCCTTCCTAAATCCTGTCTCCTGCTACAATTGAAGCCCCCAAAAGCAGGGGAACTCCTGTTGGGACCTGAGAACCCTAAACAGGACATTATTTACCAGGTGATGTTATTTACTTCCATGCTATGAAAAATTTCAGAAAGGCATTAATACACTGACATTAAAGGTAAAGGTTCCCTTGCTCGAAAGCCAGTCGAATCCGACTATAGGGTTGCGGTGCTCATCTCCGTTTCAAAGCCGAAGAGCCAGCACTGTCCGAAGACGTTTCCGTGGTCATATGGCCGGCATGACTAAACACCAAGGCGCATGGAACGCTGTTACCTTCCCACCGAAGTGGTACCTATTTATCTACTTGCAATTTCTTGCTTTCAAACTGCTAGGTTGGTAGGAGCTGGAACTAGAGATGGGAGCTCACTCCATCATGTGGCAACTCGGGTCTCGAACTGCTGAACTACTGACCTTCCACAGTCTGCAGTTCAGTGTCTTAACCACTTGAGCCACCGCAGTTCCATTACACTGACATTACACCTCTATTAAATGGCTGTTGGCAACCTCTGGGGAGGTCTAGATGTAAATACTTACTCTTCCATAAAGCTCACTGGCAGTGCAACCATAAGCACAGTTTACACCATTGTAAGTCTGTTGACTTAAATGACCTTAGAAAACTGTGATTCTAATGTTTTAAGATTTTGGCTGCTGTGGTATTGGCTACACCTTCTAAGGCAGCCATTTCAGGTTTGGCTCCACCTCCTGTAGCAGCCATTTGGAGGTGGCAGTCACTACCCTCTTTCAAAAGTTCAAAGGTGCCCGCATGTTCAAACATTTCGGGCCCCTGTTTAAATCAGTTGTTATATACCTCCTTACTATGAAAAGCTTCAGCTGTCCATTTCCACACATTAAGCCTTTATTAAAGTGTGAAGGCACTGTCCTGTAGGCCTGTTGGCAACTGGACTCATAAACTTGGTTATATAAGCAATTTATATTACTGTGGCCTCTAGAAGAAGAGCTGGGAGTGTGTCTTATAAAGGTTGGTGGGAAGGGCTAAACCGAGGGTGTTTTTTTTTTTTTTTAACTGTTTTCATTCAGGGCCCACTACCCTTCCTTCTTGTAATTCTAGCACTTCATGTGTTCACTGTGTGGTGGTGCACTCCCCAAAAAAGGTAGTGCCAAATTTATGAACTTTATGGGAGAGCCCATCACTCCATATGACAGTGGCTGGAAGCAGAGCAAGCATGGTTGGAAGAGGGCGCTCAGTTGGGCAACAGCATCTTGTTTTATCGTTCAAATGGCTATTGCCTAGTATCCATATCATGATTCAGTGCTGGAAATGTGAAGTAATAACTGTTAATCTACAGAGAAATCACACATAAATTTTATATGCTTGGGGTTATGGAGGGGTGAGGGATAGGGCATAACTACAACGGAAGCTTGAAACATCATGTACCATTAATCCCTTTATCAATTTTTTATAGTTTCTCACTAAGGGTGAGAAAAATTAGTGACTTTATTGTAAGATTCTAGAAAGAGGAAAAGAAAAATAAGGAGATTTTTGCTGTACTATAAACTAAATAACTACATAGATTTAGAAAAGATATACCCACTCTTATGGCCTCAGGAACTAGTGGGAGTAGAAAACCTTCAATATCTTCGCCAGGACAATTAGGAGGAGCAATTCAGCTCAAACTAACAAATATGAGTATCCCACAAACAACAATGAAAGAGCTAAATAAAATGATACAAGAAAGTGTGACACAAGCAGTGTCACAAGCAATGAAACTTACGATTGAGAATACATTGCCAGCATTAATTAAAAAGGAAATAGAGCCTATAAATACAAAAATGGACGATTTAGCAGTACATATTAAAAATGAAACTGAAGAAATAAAAAAACAAATATTAAATAATAAACAAGAGATTATAAAAATTTCCACTAACCAGGGAAAATTAAAAGAAAAAGTACGGGATTTAGATTTAGACGTCCAGGAAATTAAGAGCAAGAGTGAGAGGATTGAAGACACACTTATAAATTTGGAAATGGACAAAGATGCATTGTTTATAAGGTGTCAGAATGTAGGAAAGCAGTGCAGGAATCCCCTGGCTGGAGGTTGGGAGCTGAAATACTTATACGTCATGAGAGGCCGAGATGGAATCTGTTTACTGCTCACTACGCAGTCAGTAGCCTTGAGAAAGGCAGATAACAGACAGCTGCGTGAACACACACACATTCCTTAGTTCATGTCTCATGACTACGATGCTGTAATGTATAAAAAGGTGGGAGGGAAAAGAGGGGGGGATTTTTCAATAAATACGGCTGCTGCGTGAGAGGAGGGAGTTCGTTCGTTCCTGCCTTCATTCAGTCAGCTTTCTGCAGAAGCTGTTTGTCTCGTGTCGTCTTTGTATCGCCTGCACCCCCACACCCTAACGAGCAGCACCGCATCAGAATATTCCAGAAATCATAGATAAAAATCTTAAAGAGGAAATCACACATAACATAGCCGAACAGTTGAAAGTAGCTACCAAAGAGGAACTGGAAAATGGAATTGAATCAATATATAGAAGAAATTCGGCTTTTGCCAAGAACCATAGAAAACCAAGGGAAGTACACATAAAATTTACAGAAAAGAATTGAAGGACAGAATTTTAAGAGCATCAAATGAATTTAAATTAACTATACTAGGAGAAGAATTAACATTCCTAAAAGAAGTACCATGGAGAGTGAGGGAAAGAAGGATGCCTTATACAACACTAACAAATCTCCTGAAAAATAATAGAATTATGTTCAGATGGTTAATTCCTAAGTACTCTATTCATATAAAAAAAGACACAGAATAGATTCGGTATTCAAGGTAGAATATTTTCTAGACAAATTTGGTGAAGAGTTAGGACTCCAAAAAGGAGATGTATAAGAAGCGGAGGCGGAGGAGGAGGAGGAAATGGAAGAAGAAGAAATTGAGGAAAAAAATACTCAACAAGAATCACCCTGAAAAAACTAAAACTAAATCAAATAAAGCAACGTATCAAATTTTGACTAGATTTAAAATACAGAAGTAGAGGGAAGAAATACTAGGCAAAGAAGATGACAACATCTAAAAATTTTAGTATTCTATCTATAAACATAAATGGTTTAAACAGCCCACACAAAAGAAGAAAGACATTCCATCAATTCCAAAAAATAAAAGCAGAAATTGTATGTTTACAGGAAACGCATATTAAGAAGAAAGATGTGAAATACTTAGAATGTAAAAGGTTAGGTATAGCATTCACGGCATCAGCAGACGAAAAGAAAAAGGGGGTAGTGACATACGTAAAAGAAGCATTAAATCCAAACCTTGTATACAGTTCAGACGATAGTAGAATAGTGGCAATTACAATTGTAAGAAAAGGGGGGAAATGTTAATAATTAATATATATGCACCTAACCAAAATCAAAAATATTCTTTCAAGAAATACAATCAGCCTTAAATCTAGAGGAGGTAGATGATATTTGTATTACAGGACGTTTTAATTCAGTGTTAGACCCGGTAATGGATAGGAAAACTTCTAGAAAAGGACATAAAATGGGAGGAGTAATACAAAAGAATTTTATACAAATAGTGGACGAATATAACTTAGTTGATGCATGGAGAACTAGAAACCCACAAAAAAAGAGACTATACATATCACTCTATACGACACAATGCTTGGTTGAGAATTGATATGATTTGGATATCTACAAATATGATAAGGGAAGTGATGGAAAGTGAAATACTACCGAATACCTTTGCGGACCACAATCCTATTTCTCTCACGTTAAGAGAGGAATGCAAGAAAAATAGATGTTCAATAAATTAAGGTTGCTTAGAGATCCAAACTTTATGCAAAAATGCAAAAAAGAGATTATAGAATTTTTTCAAATAAATAATATACATCAATTGAAATAATATGGAACACATTTAAAGCTTATGTGAGAGGTTGTTTTATCAGCCAAAGCGTATGGAAAACCAAACAAAAGAAAAAGAAATATGAACAATTAGTTACTTAAAGTAAACAACAAGAAAATGTTATGAAGAATGTAAAAGAGACTAAAATTGCCAAAGTAAAATTAAACCGTCTACATCACAAAATGAATTTATTGTTGAATTATGAGATAGGGAAAAAAATTGAGTTTACTAAGCAATATTATTTTGAAAATATAAATAAGCCTAATAGATGGTTAGCATATAAGGTTAGAAAAGAAAGAGAAAAACGCTCAATAATTAAATTAAAAAATGATAAAAATGAAGATAAATTTAACCTACAAGAGTTTAAGAAAATAGTGGGGAAATTCTATAAAAATCTATATCAACGAGACTTGAGTCATAAAATATTTGAACGAAAATGTGAAAAAATTTAATGAACAACATAGAAAGTCTTGAATGACCCAATAACAATGTGTGAGGTATCTGAAGCAATTAAAAGACAGAAAAAGAAGAAAACACCGGGTTCGGGTATACCAGCGGAATTTTATCAAATTTTCGAAGAACAGATCTGTATACCATTTAAAGAACTACGTCAGAGAAAAGGACACCTTGAAAAGATTCCCGAATCATGGAACCATGCATTAATTACATTACTTCATAAACCTAATTCAGATCAAAGTGATATTAAAACGTATAGGCCCATATCATTGCTAAATGCAGACTATAAAATATTTGCAGGAATTATCGCAAATAGTTTTTAAAAAGTATTATCTCATACCATACATCAAGACCAGATGGGCTTCTTACCCAAAAGACAAATGAAAACAATTTGCAAATAATTATGGATGTGTGCTAGAATACTATGAAGAACATTCAGATAAAGAACTCATATTAATGTTTCTTGACGCGGAAAAAGCCTTTGATAATTTATCGTGGGATTTTTTACTGCAGAAATATATACGGCGGATTGTAGCCAATACTTTTTCACTATGGATAAAGCTGTTTATAAAACGCAATATGCAAAAGTAATAGTAAATGGAGATGTGACTGATATTATAGAAATTCAGAAGGGCTCCAGACAGGGCTGTCCGATTTCACCTTTGTTGTTTATCTTTGCACTAGAGTCCTTAAATGAGTCTATAAGAAAGAATACACAAATACAAGGTTTAAAAATAAAAGGGGAAGAGTATAAGTTATTGGCTTTTGCAGATGATCTGGTATTTATTTTTGAGAACCCAGAAATATCAATTATTCATTTGATGGATACTATTAAAAAATATGAACAAGTAGCAGGACTCAAGATCAATTATAAAAAATCCAAGATACTAGCTAAAAACTGTTTACTGAGGACTTTGCATATAATACAAGAATTAACCACTATGGAATTGGTTAAGAAAGTAAAGTATCTTGGAATTAACTTATCGAACAAGTGTAGTTCATTAATAGAGGACAATTATTATAAATTTTGGAAATAAATTTAAAAAGATCTGTTAAAATGGAAGAATATCCCCCTATCACTTATGGGTAGAATAGCACTGATAAAGATGAATATATTACCAAGGTTTCTATTTCTAGCTCAGAGTATATCGGTTTTAAAAAAACAAAATTTCTTTGAAGAATCGAATAAAATCACAAGACAATTCATATGGCAATATAAGAGCTCAAGAATACAATGGAAAGTATTGCAGGACAGAAGGGAAAGGGGGGGGAATGAATGTCCCTAACTGGTATATATATTATCAAGCGGCCGCCCTAGTTTGGATAAAAGAATGGATAACTTTGGAAAATACTAGGACCCTTGTATTAGAAGGACATGATTTGTATATGGGGTGGCACGCTTATATATGGTATGGGAAAGATAAAATCCATTCAAATTTTGGAAGACATGCGTTAAGAAGAGCGCTGAATAAAATATGGAGCAATGTAAAAGATAGCGTTTATAGGAAAACTCCAAGATGGGTCTCCCCCCTAGAAGCATTTATTAATCCATCATTAATAACAATAAGTAAGAAAGAAAGGTATCAAACCTTTTTATGTAAAAATAATAAACTAAAAACAGAAGAAAAGTTACTACAAGAAAATAATCTATCCTGGTGGGAACAGATAATGTTACGAGACAGATATAAAAAGGATATGTTAAGGGGTTTTGAAGGTCAAAATAATGAACTGGATAAGATTTGGTAGTCCTCAAATGATAAATTAATACAGAAGTTTTATAGATTCTGGCTGGATGATTATGAACAAGATGAAACAATTAAAACTCTAACGATTACATGAATGAAGGATGTAGGAGAGAACATAAAATTTGATAGGTGGTCAAAAATTTGGAAATCTGTTGAATATATGAGAGCCATTTCATACAAAGAGAATGTATATAAAATGTTCCACAGGTGGTATTGGTCCCCGGACAAAATAGCTAAATGTTATTCTGGATATTCCAACCAATGTTGGAAGTGCAAAGCGAATATAGGAACCTTTTATAATATATGGTGGAAATGTAGTAAAATACAAGGAAAATGGTGCGGAAGATAATTCAAGAAATGTTAGAAAAAAACCTAGCATTAAAACCCGAAATATATTTGTTGAATATAATTCTGAATGGCTATAATGTACAAGAATCATACTTAATATACCTATATACCTATATACCTATATAATAACCACTGCTCGTTTGTTACTGGCAACAAATTGGAAATCTGACATAATACCTTCTAGAGAAGAATTAACACTTAAATTACTAGAGGTAGCACAAATGGATGATTTGAGTTTGATGCTTCAAAATAAAAATGAAAAAGTACATGCTAAGAGGTGGTTATGGGTGTATAAATGGATAGAAGATTTAACAATTGTTTAAGACTCTATTTTATATGTAAGATGTAAAGTTGGAATGTAAGATTTGTAAAACTGAAAATAAAAAGTAAAAAAAAAGAAGCTTGAAACATCATGGCTTATTTTGGCAGTTCATTGATAAGCTGCCCTAAGGCCGGCTGACCATCAACCAGTCAATAAACGGCTAAAGGTAGTTTCTTATCTTACTACAGATAAAACAGTAAGGCATTATCTTATTTTATAATTTTATTTTCTGCTCCAGGCTATCGCTATATGAACAGAGATAGATAGACAGAGGATAGAAGAAGAGATTGGATTTATACCCTGCCCTTCACTAACTGAAGGAGTCTCAGAGCAGTTTACAATCCCTTTCCCTTCCCCTCCCCTGTGTGGTAGGTGGGGCTGTGAGAGCTCTTTCGAGAACTGCTGATGAGAGAACAGCTCTGAAAGAACTTGTAACTGACCCAAGGTCACACCAGCAGCTGCATGTAGAGGTGTGGGGAGTCAAATAGATAGATGAGAGGGGGGTGGTATTTGTCCCACGCATTTCTTCTCCGCTCTAATCAAGATAATTACTATCCATATTGTACTTTTGCATCTTGAGTTCCTTCTTTGCAACACCTTTCCCACCATCTGACTGGGATATAAGGACTCATAGCTCCATTCCTACTCGCTTCTAATGAAGGGAGCTTTAACTCTCAAAAGCTTATACACCCAAAATCTTGTTGGTCTCAAATGTGCTACCGGACTCGAATCTAACTGGCTTGGCTTAGAACGTAAGTTTCAACAAAGGAGCCCACACTGAACGCTTCACACAATGGAACTACAGTTCCCACAATTCACTCCCACACAACCACGGCAAGGACAGAAACTGCAGAAGGCGGGGCTCTTGTTTTCTCCCATAGAGACTCGTTTTCCCAGACTGCCCTGCGCTACCTCTCGAGCATGCGTGCCGCAGCCTGAGCTGTCGCTTCTTTGGCAGTGACTGAGGCGGCGGCGCTCGCCATGGAGTCTTACGATGTGATCGCGAACCAGCCGGTGGTGATTGATAACGTGAGTTCGTCCCTAACTGGAATTCTTAGATTTGGCTCTATGAGGACGTGGGGTAGGGGAAATACAGTCGAGAATCCCCGCGGGTTGTGGCCGTTTGTTCTCTTTATAATCAGGTCGGTGGACTCCTCTGCTCAAAAGTCATCCCCGCAATTCATTCGATCCTTCCACCCTTTTGCTGAACCTGGGTCTCTCTTTCTCCATCTCGATGACCCATCCTGCGTTTTCATTGGCTGACTCACTTGTCATTGAGTCGTAGAACGGCGCAGTCTGAAGAACGTCACAAATATGATTGAAGGTGTCTTGCCTTTTTTTGGCATCGTCGTTCTCTGATTGGTGTGGTGTGCTGGCAATCTCTTAGGGTTATCCTATCATGAAGCATGTTTTCCCTCCCTTGAGGAGGTTATGTGAAACTATTGGCTTCTTGAATACTACTTTTCCCTGTTTGACCCCATTAGTTCCACCTAGTCCTTCCGTTTGTTGTCACTGCTCAGATGTAGGTAGATTCAGGTATGGATGGCCGTGCTGATCTGAAGCAATAGAAATTTGAGTCCACTCCAGTGGCACCTTTAACACCAACAAGTTTAATTCTAGGTATAATCTTTCGTGGTCATGTACATTCCTTCAGATATAGATAGGTGAGAGCAGGTATGTTTCAGGTGTTCTTAGAGTATAGCTAATAAATTGTAGAAGACTCTGTGAGTCTTCTGGCGCTTTAAAGATTAACAAAATCTTATTTTGTAAACCCACATTATCAGATGATCGAGATCTTCACTTCACAGACATATACATGCACAGATACACACAGAATGGAGGAAATGATCATAAGTAGCCGGGTTAAAAGGCTATGGAAAACAAAAAGAACTGGATGTGCCATTATTATGCAAATACAGTAAAGATAGTAATAAAATGTAATAAAGTATGGTGAGCAGAATAGCAGTAATAGGTGATAATGTAGTTTCTCTAGCAGTGGTAAGCAGATTAACACTTATAGTGGCTGAGATATCACTGATCTTTCTTCAAGCTTTGGTAGATGTAGTAATGTTTCTTGATGAATTCTTAAAACCAGCCAAAGTAAAAGAGTGTGCAGAACTCTTCATCAGGCTAGATATATTAATAATGGGAGGGGGGCTGTTTCTTACTCTGAGCTTGAGGCTTTTTGTCTATACCCATTGCTGAATGCTATGCAGGCTTTAGTAGATGAGAGGTGGTGCTGCATGAGGCTGGTATTGAGTTGAATTTTTAGTGTTCTAAGAAGAAGGCAAATAGCTTCTATGTTAGTCAATTGCAATTCTTTCCCCATGTATTCAGTATCACCTAAATATTTGAGCAGCTGATTCTTGTGTCCTGTGACATCAGCATTTTTGCCACTGGGGAGGTCATCTGGAGGTTTGGAGCGAAGTATCATCTGTATGCTGAGACACCCAGTTCTGTGTCTCCTTTTTAGCCAAGCCAGGTGAAGCCATTAATATCTTCAACCATTGTTTGGAGGCAGATATAGGCTGGATGAGGGCCAATAAATTGAAATACAACAGTCCAGGCAAGACTAAGGTACTGTTGGTCAGTCAAAAGGCTGATCAAAGCTTAAGAAATCTGGTCTGAAAGAAGTTGAGCTTATGTAGTAGAACTAGTTCATAGTTTGGGAGGGGGGTGCTGTTGCATCCAAGCTTAACAGATGGAACCTTGGGTCCTTGGTAAAATGTAGTGCCTTTCCCAGCTTTGGTTGGTGGGCCAGCTGCAGCTGTTCCCTGATTGGGAGGATCTGTTTATCCTGTCCATGCTCTGATCGCATCTGAATGAAACTAAGCACTGCTCTTTACCTGAGGCTGCCTTTGAAGACTGTTCAGAAACTTCTACTGATGCACAGTGCAGCAGCAACTCTCCAGCAATTATCCATGCACATCTGGGCACAGTTCAAAGTGCTGGACATTGTTTTTAAAGTGCTAAATGATCTAGAATCAGAGTATGTAAAATCTTAACCCCATATGCCAGTTTAGGGCATCTAAGGGTCTTTTCTGGTTCATGGGGTCGCGAAGAGTCTGACTCGACTGTGCAACTGAACAACAACAACAAGGGTCTTTTCTGTGTGCTCCTCCCATCCTCCGAAATAAGTTCGGTGGTTATATCAAAAAGAAAGCTGTAGCTCCTTATTTGTGGAATACCCCTCCCCCTCTGTCTGGTACCTGATAATGTCACCTTCAGATGCCAAGTCTTATCTCCCACCACCTATGAGAAGACGTACAAATAAGAATTCTAGCACTGATTTTGTAAACCCGATTGGGTGAATTGATAACTTAAATTTTATATGTATTGGTGGCTTTGTTTCCCCCCTTCTTAGTTTATAAATCAATAAAACATGCACATACTGTCTCACTCAATTGTAATGCGAAAAAATTACTTAGAATGTTGAAACTGATATTGTATTGGCAATGACGTCTATTCATTGGTACATATTTTATGATATGATAAATCTTGAGAAATGGAACACTTTCCACTGCACTTCGTGGCTATGCAGCAGTGTGAGGAGAGATCCAGGAAGGAGCCATGGCAAATCGAAAGTGCTCTAAGAACAGAGTGTTACTCCAGACTTCTGTAGTTCCTTATATGCTGTTTTTTCCAAAAGTTTTGTCGGGTGGTTTCAGCCTGCAGGAAGAAAGGAAGCAGTGAGGCTGTGCTCCACAAACTATTATGGAATATGATCTGCCTTGTGCAGCAACCCATACAGCTGGCCCATATTCCCTGTATGATGCTTGTTCTTTGACCCTCCTCAGCAACTTGTATGAACTGAAGAAGAGTCTGTGGACTGCTTTGGCTGTGGACTGCTTAATGTAGATTCTTTCCCCCCCCAAAAAACCCCCAATTTTTATTCTTTTTCAAAAGGAATACAGAATTCATCGTTATAATACACAAATATAGGTTGCTTCACTTAGAGAAGAGAGAAAAAAGAATACTATAAGATTTCTATCTCATAACAACTTACATTCTTTTGGAATACAGAATACAGAGTGATAAACTTATAACTTGTCAACTGTAAATCGTTATTTTATATCTAGCTTTATTGATGCTTTCCCAATTAAAGTTATCAAATGTTATTTTTTCTACCATGGGGAACCATTTTCCTAAGGGATTTTATATTTCGCATTCATTCTGGTCATTTGAGTTATATATAGATATCGTTTCAAGCATGAAAAAGATGTAGATTCTTCAGTATTTTGTTTCACAGTAATTACCAGCTGTGTTGAGAAACTTCTCAACAAGTCTCAGGCATAAGAAAAGAGGCTGCAGAAAATAGAATCTGCTCTCTCTAGTGGTCCTGTGAAGATACTGCCATTCCAGGCACTTTTTTTTGCCCTGAAATGACAGTAGTGTATAACTGTATATTTGGGCCAACAAAAAATGTTACAAATTGTTGAGCAAGCTTTTGAATTCCCCAGAGTACTTTGTCAGGTTGGACACTTTATATTTGTATTGCTAAAGTGGCTATTCTTTGCTTCTTTCTTCCAGTAGCCTTTGGTTTATCATAGGGAAGGGAATGTGGCTCGGTGCTAGAGCATCTGCTTGGCATGCAAAAGGTCCAAGGTTCCATCCCTGGCATCTCCCCTTAAAAGGATCAGGCAGTAGGTGATGTGAAAGACCTCTAAGACCCTGGAGAGCTGTTGCCAGTCTGAGTAGACAATACTAACTTTGATGGACCAAGGGTCTGATTCACTATAAGGCTGCTTCCTGTGAAATCTGTTTGTTCTCAACGCTATCTAATCGAGACTGTAATACTGCACACACTTTCCTGGGAGTAAACCCCATTGTGATTTAGTTCTGAATAAGAGACATAAGAGACACCAATGTTGGATCAGGCCAAAAGCCCATCCATTCCAACACTCTGTCACACAGTGGCCAGAAATACCAGGTGCCATCAGGAGGTCCACCAGTGGGACCAGGACATTAGAAGCCCTCCCCCTGTTGACCCCCCCCCCCCAAGCACCAAGAAGACAGAGCATCACTTGCCCCAGAGCCCCTATATACCTTGTGGCTAATACCTTGTGCATTGGCTTACATTGTAAATCTGCATTACTTCCTGTACTCCATTTTAAGAAGGTTACAAACTGCAGATTGTGGGCCCTTCCTCATGCCCAGAAACATCTTTTTTGTTTGTTTCCCCTCCTTGTTTGTTTTTATACTGAATATTGAACATGATTTAGAGTTCTACAGAACTCAAAAGCTCCGTCACAACCCTCTAGCCAAGTGTGCTGGTCCTAATAAATGAGTTTATTACACTTTGTCATTTTTTTGGATTTTTTTTATAATGGACCATCATAGTTTCCTACCATCTGTTTTTCTTTTCCAAGGAAATATTTGGGTTGGGGTTCCCCCCCCCCCTTTTGGGATTCCAGGGTGGTCAGACATAATACTGTATGCAAAGTAAAGATATTCCTGTTTAATTTACAGTTGTTACTACATGTACTACAGGGGTTGAAGTACTCTATGATCCAAGTATGACTTGTTGGTCTTAAAGGTGCCACTGGACTAAAACTTTGTAATCAAACAGTTTTCTTGTGTGTGTGTTTTCCCCACAGGGCTCTGGCATGATTAAAGCTGGTTTTGCAGGGGATCAAATACCCAAGTACTGTTTTCCTAACTAGTAAGTATACTGGTATTTTTAGGGATGTTATCGATAGTCTGTAATATTAACTACAATATGTGTGTGTGTTTGGCAGAGGATATGAAGAGCCTACATAGGTAGGGTTCCCAACCTCCAGGTGGGGCATTGAGATCTCCCAGCATTATAACTGATCTCTAAAATATAGACATCATTGCCGCTGAAGAAAATGGATGCTTTGGTGGGTGGACTCTATGGCACTGTACCCCATAGAGGTCTTTTCACTCCCCAAGTCCCATTGTGCCCCATCGTGCCCACCTCCAAATGTCCAGGAATTTCTTAACCCAGAGTTGGCGACCTTGTATGTAGGAACTGGAAATTCAGATGGCTAACTTCTAATACTGGCTGTGGCTAGGTTAATTTTAATTTTTTTTTTTAAAAAATGGTATTTTGTGTGTGAGTGTGTGTATGTGCACACGTGCATGTCTGGAAGTCATGGTTGACTTTTGGCAACCCCTAATGGGGCTTGGACATTTCTAGGGTTGCCAAGTGTGAATTACCTTTTCGCATGGCAGTCCCGGGTCCCTTCCAGGAGATATTCGGCGTGCGCGCGCTGCAATGACATCACCCAGAAGTGACATCATTGCGTTGGGCACGTTGGGGGTGGGGCCAGTATCATTCGAGGGAAAACCTCCTTGTGATGTCATCACTCTGGGCACGTCTCCGTGCTCATAGCACTTTGGGGGTGGGCTTCCCTCCAGTGGCCCGATCCGGGCTGGTGGGGAACCGACCCAATTAGCGGGGGGTTCCCCGCCCCCCCGGCAACCCTAGACATTTCAGAGAAGTGATTTGTTATTGTTTGCCTCTATCTCCTGGCCCTTGGTATTCCTTGGAGGTCTCCCATCCAAGTACTTGCCAGGATTGGTCTTGCTTAGCTTCAGAGATCTGACAAGATCAGGCTTGCCTGGGCTATTCAGGTCAGGGCCGCTAGGTTAACTGTGACTTTCATGGATATAAGGGAGCAGATTTCCTTAGAATGAACACCTTTGGCAAATTCAGAATGGTTTTGAGACTCTGGGGCATTCTTAAAGAGGGCAAGTAAGCTACAGCCCCTTGACTCTACTTTGCATCTGCAGGTTCCTTTGTCCCTGCCCTGAGATTTAGATAAAATAACTTCCCCAAGATGAGATCATGAGTTCACTGCTAATTTGAACTCTCATTTCCAGTGCTCTAAGTGCAGCCTGTTTTCCAGGGTTTCTAGAAGGGTCTCTTTCTAGTGAAATTGCAAGTTTTGAATTGTTAGGTTGTGAAAGGAATGTTCAGCTTTGTGCAATCCATTTCAGTGTGGGCAGACCAAAGCATGTTCGTGTCATGGCTGGTGCATTGGAAGGTGACATTTTCATTGGACCAAAAGCAGAGGTAAGGAAACTATTCTTATTGGTTCTCTTGTGGTTAGTTGTCTTTAGTTAGAGCATCTCACCAGAAATAGGATGCTTTGAATCCAATGCAGGTCTCTGACTATCATTTTTGGCACTCAAACAGTCCCTTGGACAATGTTAGGGCTGAAAAACTTGCTCAGAACAGTAGCCTAGATTAGAGATATTTCATGATGCTGAAGGTCTTCTGCTAATCTGAATGTCTCACGTATCCATGATGAACTTGCATACGGCATGTTTTTGAGTTCATTAAATGACATAGGTTACCTTTTAATGGCACATTATTTGTGTTAGGTTATCTCTGTGCAATTTCCAAATGGAGCCCAATAATTTCGGTTAACGGTGTTTGGGAAGTTGCCGTAGGTCAATCAAGGATATGTTTAAGATCAATCATGGAATGTCTTTGCTTGCTAAAATTCAAGTTTTTTACAAGATTGATCAGACCTACCTTTTGGAACTGATTTTTGACTGCTAGCTAAAGGTTAAGTAAACAGAGAATGGGGGCCGTTCATTGTGCTAGGTTTTTCTTTTCTTGTGATTGTTTTGCTTTTACCTTTCCCAAGCCTTTATAACTCAGAGGGCTGCCCAGTTGATGGCCGAACACATGCCTTCTCCTTAGCTGTATTCTACTGTCGGAGGAGCCCCAGCTGATGAGCCCCGACTGAGCTATCTTTAACATCCAAAGTCACAAGTCCATTACTGAAAATCAAGCAAAGAAAATGAGATTCTTATTTTTATTTGTTCATTTATTTATTATTTCTATCATCTTTTGCTGGAACTCAAGGTGGGTTTCCCATGCAAACCTGCTTGCCTTCAGAATGCGGGTTCTAAATGGGGGGAAGAGAGTTTGTCATCGAAGTATTTTGTCTCCTCTGTCAAAAACTCATTCCCTCTTGTTCTTAGTTAAAAACAGAAGTAAGGGTTATTTGGTGGGATTCTTGGGAAGTAAACTTATTGTCAGAGCTGGGATACCTACTGAATAGGGTTGAGGGGGTATATGTGGTCATTCTTCCAGCTGACTTGGTGCCTTGTTGACTTGACTAGGAGCACCGAGGCCTCCTTTCTATCCGCTATCCGATGGAGCATGGCATAGTGAAGGACTGGAATGACATGGAGCGTATCTGGCAGTATGTGTACTCAAAAGACCAGCTTCAGACTTTCTCTGAAGAGGTGAGTTGCCCCACAAGCCCCAGAATACCAAACAAGAGGGCCTCCCTTATTCCTTTTGGTGGTATTGCCTTACTGTCTTTTCAGCCTCTGTACCAGGATTCCCCACTCTCTGCACCAACGCAGCCTTTTCACAGCTTTCCTTGTGCTGAATGTTATGCAGACAGCTCTCTACCCATTTACCCAAGTAAGTGGAGAATGGGTAGATTTTCACTGGAGCCACATGACAGTGCCAGAGGCCATGCCCAGAGATCACTGAAAAGAGGATTTTCATGACCAAGTGCTGGAACATGAAGTGTTTTCCTTTGCCTGCTCTATAGTTCACATGGTTCTGTTGAAGCATTGTTTGCCTGTTCATGTGAATCATGTGCAAGAGGCACTCTGGAAGATCCTACCCCACCCCACCCTCTAGCTTAAATGCAAATTCAGTCTGAAGGAATGAATAAATGTCACTCTCCTGAATCTCCCTCCCATGTAGCATGGAGGAAAAATCCACCCTCTGAACCTGAACCCTTTGGCAGAGTTGCTTTGAGTCTCCCCCTGTCTCCTGGGGCACTTTGCACCTCTCTCAAAGCTGTCTTATATTGTATGATTTCTAACAACCCAGCCAATGAGAAGTTATTTTGAGGCTGGCTAGCAAGAGGTTTGATCTGATGACCTGAATTCATTCATACAAGGGAAGAATTAGATGCTGTTGTGTCTATAACCTGCTCTCCCTCAGAGGGGCTGACATGTGATTTTCAGATGGGTTCCCATCCACGCTCTGCTTAGAGCTTAACTTCCTGCTAGCTTAGCTCTAGCCATTGACCTTGCCCTGTGTTTTCAGATCATTCTCTGGGTGAAATGGATATCCAGTGTACACTTGCATGGGTAGAATAGCAGCTTCCAGTTCCTTCCCAAATGCGCCATCCAGGGATAAACACTGACACAGAGTTTGGGCACCTTCCTGGTGCATCTGATGGCTGATTCATTCTCTACTGTACAAAGTTCCTGCTAGTGTCTTTTGATCAAGGACTGGAAAAATCTTTTTAGGCCCTGGGAAGTTCTACCCAGCTGAGTCTCTTGTGTTCCTAACTGCCAGCATCCCGTGCTCCTGACAGAAGCGCCGCTGAACCCTCGAAAGAACCGTGAGCGAGCCGCTGAGGTTTTCTTTGAGACCTTTAATGTGCCAGCCCTCTTCATCTCCATGCAAGCTGTGCTGAGCCTGTGAGTACTTTCCCCACCTCTCCTTGCTGTCTTTGGAGGGGCAGCCAGTTTCTGCAGTACAGAGCATTGGTGTGCATGGGAGTATTTTACTCAGAAGTAGGTTCCATAGTTCAAGAGAACTTAATCCCAGGTACATGTTCCGGGGGTGGTGATCTTACAGTGCAATGCCATGCAGAGTCACTAGGACGCCATGCAGAATTCAATAGGATTGTGCTGTGAGGCCTGTAAGCTATTTCCTCTTAGAGATTCTGCACTTGGGCTTTGATGACCGAAATTCAGGTTAGGAATTATTACTGTTGTATGCTTAGATAGCAGATCAAGTTCTGACTGATTGTTTCTTTGAGAATTCTTCATGGGTTTAGGCAGTTGCCAGACTTTTTCAAAGGGTGGATCTCCAATAGAAACCTTCCCCTTTGGCTTTTGAACCATCACCATCCATTTTTTAAAAAATATCCCCATAGTAATTTCTAGATGATAGTAAAGCAAGTTTTCTGGGAGTAATCATTGCCTTGGCAAGTGTCACCGTGTGCCCATCAGTGTTGATTTCTACAAAGTCTTTTCAGTGTTTAATATTCTGAAATGTGTTTCTATTCTGTAGTTATGCAACAGGGCGAACCACAGGGGTTGTGTTGGACTCGGGGGATGGGGTCACCCACGCAGTTCCTATTTATGAAGGGTTTGCCATGCCCCACTCCATTATGCGGATTGACATAGCTGGCCGCGATGTCTCCCGTTTCCTTCGTCTGTATCTTCGGAAGGAAGGCTACGATTTCCATACATCATCTGAATTTGAGATTGTCAAAACCATAAAAGAGGTACCTGCATGCCCCTGTCTTTGCTCTGGAGGCAGTTTCTTCTCTGGGGGAACGTAGTAGTGAAGAACGAACTGGGCTGCCACCCAGAAAGTTGCAAGTCCAAGTTGCAAGAGGAATATGGTAGTGGTGGGGAGAGCTGTTTAAACCGCAGCTGCCTGTTCAAGATGGACTTTTAGTCCTAATCCAGAGCTGCATTTTCTCAATGTCCATCAGGTCCTAGTTTGCTAGGCTGGAATTCTTCTTGTTCACATAGTGGCTTTCCATAGGAAGCATTCAAACATGTGAATCCCCCACTTCTGAAACGGTAGTTCCAATAAAGCTTCCTCACATGGTTCGTCATAGATTCACAATAGACATGCTCTCAGAACTGATGAGACTTCATATGATCTTCCTTGTTCTATGGACAGTGAGAGTCACTAAACTTGTGCACAGGGTTATATATTGTGTAGGCTAAGAGATCTGATTTAATTTTGCCCCCAGGGTTTTTTAATTGTTGTTTTTTGTAAACATTTGGACAGACCTGGGTGATGGATCCACAGGAGCTGTTGGAGACATGCAAGATTCCATGATCCCTTCCCCACCCTTGTCAAAAAGACTGAATGCCAGACCCTATATCATAACAGAATACTGTTCTCTTGAGGATTTTATCTAAGCAATGGCTTTGATGTTTGGGGTGGTATCATTCTCACCATGTCTGGGAGCAGGGATTCAGCAAGCTGACCAGAACTCTTGGAATCTTGTTTAGAGGATCGTAGATTGGCTGATGGAGAAGCCATTGTGCTGGCAACAACTGTGCTCCACTCTTTGGTCTTTCCTGTGTTTCTCACCTAGACAATATATTGTTTAGCTATACCAGGGAGGCCTGAGATTCTTCTAGGACCTCTAGTAACCCCGCCCTGTTGCACTGAACTCTGTTTAGTATTGGGCTGTTAATTTGCCATATGGCCCTGCAAAGGGATTTAAATCAATGCCCAGCTTTTGTTCCTAGAACACTTTTATAGAGATTGGCAGACTTCTGGAGCTGGGGATGGTGGCACTGCTACCATTTTGAAGAGGGGAATAATTCCACTTCTCTGCTCTCTGACAGATGCATTCCCAGTTTGTCTTTTGAAAGGATCCCTCTGAAATGACCTTGTCTGTGCTTGCCATTTTTTCAGAGGGCTTGTTATCTGTCAATAAACCCACAGAAGGACGAGACATTAGAAACGGAGAAAGCTCAGTATTACCTTCCAGATGGAAGCACCATTGAGGTTTGTGAAGAACTTGGGCATTATGTTGTTTAAAACTGGAAGCCAAATATAGTTAAATTAGGCTTAGTTGTTCTTCTGCAGATCAGCAAGAAAGTTAAGGCCTGTATATTTCAGAGCCTCTCATGCATCTCTCATGATAGCATCAGAGCTATTTATGCAAGATACTGGGACATTCAGAATTTCCACTGGTTGAGGAATTTACCTTCATAGCAAGATTTAAGAACTGTGTTAAAAAAAACTGCAACCTTAATGAGTTTAAATTTGAATGCCTTTTAATAATTTTGGTAAAGAAAATGAAATTGTTCAATGGAGATCAACTTTTAAACTTGTTCCTAGTTGGAAATAACATTTAAAATGTACAGGCACAAAAAAAAGATGAAAAGCCAGGAGCCCAAACCAGGCTGTTCTTTTGAGAGTTCACTGGAACCTGGACAAATGTAAGGTTCCAAGAGCCCAAGGCTATTTATGTTGTGCAATGCTGCACAAGCTAATATTAAGCAGCATCCTTCAAGCGAGTTGACTTTACTCTACCTTGGAGAGTCTCAAAGTGGCTTACAATCACTTTCCTTTCCTCTCCCCAGAACAGGCACCTGGTGAGGTAGGTGAGGCTGAGAGAATTCTGAGAGAAATTGTGACTGGCCCAAGGTCAGCCAGCTGGCTTCATGTGGAGGAGCAGCAAGGAATCAAACCTGGTTCTCCAGATTAGAGTCCACCACTCTTAACCACTGCACCCCACTAGGTTCAATCTGTCATTTTAAAAGATTCTAGCCATTATATCTTCAAAGAGACCCTCTTGAAAGTATGTGGGAAGCTCCTGCTTGAAATCACAGGATCCTACATAATTTCTCTCCCCAGCCTCTAAGTAGGTCTTCTTGGAGCCAGGGGCTTCCCAGAGTCGTGATTATGTTCTTTCTGTGGCCAGTGGAAGAACAATAAGAATAAGCAAGAATATACCAAGGCACAGAGTGTGCAGTGGTTATAGAACATTATTGCATTGGTTACATCAGGCCCACACGTGACTGACTAACAAGTTAACTTGACGTAAGCCACCGAGGAGGCAGTACATAGTCAAGGGAGTCCTGTTGCTCTGCTTGTTCCACAGTGTTCCATAGGCCCAAGTCCTTTCCCCATTCAAATTTATTTATTTATTTACTTATTATTCACATTTCTATCCCGCCCTCCCCGGAGGCTCAGGGCGGCTTACAGGGCATATCACCAGATAAAACAATAAAACAATACAAAATGGTAAAATACATCACATTAAGCCAATTTTGGTGCTCCTCTCAGTCAGTTTCCAATTTCCAAATTACAATTTCTAGAGGCAAGATGGCCACCCCAACACCTCCCGTTCTCGCCCATAGTGCAGCGATTATGGAGCATTGATGGAACATGCCCCCTCCTGATGTTCATATGTGGGGCGTTGATGGTAACTAGTGCGTTGGTGGTGCACTAGTGGTGGCGGCTCCTATTCCTATTCAAAAGCCTGGCGGAAGAGCTCCGTCTTGTAGGCTCTGCGGAACTGTGCTAGGTCCCTCAGAGCCCTGATCTCCTCTGGGAGCTCATTCCACCAGATAGGAGCCGCCACCGAAAACGCTCTATTCCTGGTCATGGTAAGTCTAATAGCCCGGGGACCTGGAACATCCAATAGATGCTGGGTGCCCTTGGGGGAACATGTGGGGCAAGGCGGTCCCTTAGGTAGACTGGTCCCTGACCATATAGGGCTTTAAAGGTAATGACCAGCACTTTGAAGCGAACCCGGTACGCTATTGGCAAACAGTGCTGCGCTTTCAGCACAGGCTGGATGTGATCTCGTCTAGGAAGATCCATCAACAGCCTGGCTGCAGCATTCTGCACTAGTTGCAGCTTCCGAATTTGCGACAAAGGCAGCCCCATGTAGAGAGCGTTACAGTAGTCTAGCCTCGAGGTGACCGTCGCATGGATCACTGTGGCTAGGTCATCCCGG